CAGATAATTGCAGTCTTAAATGCTCAGAATTCCGAGCTGCAAGTCTGGAAAATTCACTTTTATCAGCGCGAAGCAGCGCGTTAAATGAGCTTTTTTCTTCACACGTCTTCTCCATTGAAGATTTTTCTTCAATTTCAACTTGGACTGCTTTACAAACTTCATCTAATGTCTGACAATTGGAGGGATAATCCGCAAAAACTACAAATGTGAAATTGATGTCTAAGCGAGTCCTGCCGGAATCGGAAGCAAGCAGACGGATCGCGATTAAGTTGAAAAGTTTAAGGAATTTGAGATGTTTTTTGGCAGACTAACACCGAAATAATTTGAAATCGTCTGAAAATTAAAATTAAACACGAATTAGCAAAAAATCTTGCCAATTCTGTTCAATGCAATGACCGTTGAAGCTGCTATTCGTCTGATGAACTGCCAACAATTTGATCCATTTGATTTGCAATGGAGGTTTGAAGAATGATTTACAAAGAACTTACAACAAAACTCAATTGATAAAAAGTGCAGTAATGAGACTATGCGTTTAAGTAGTTCTAAGTATCTGTTAGTGAAAGCTTTAAAGTCTATGAACCCTGTACGATTTGCACGATTTAAACTACATATAATGTATAATTTTACTGAAATACATATACCTATGACAGTAATTCGTTCGACGTCGCTCAATTAGAGGATCAATATTCGTCATTACCTGATGTAAATCAGAATAAATTGTCTACTGAGAAATTGTTTTTATTTTGTATTGAATGGAATGTACTTAATGGTGAACAGATTCTATATCACTTTATTTTGTTTTCTATTTCATACTCGTAGGAAATACGTTAATTACTGATGTACACTTATATAAAATTATGTAACTACTATGATCTTAGAAGTCCACTCAGGCTTTATGGCTCATTCTACTGACGTATAAAATTTAGAAGGCTTAAAGTAATTTCGTAACTGCATGAAAACATAAAAAAATAATTTTAAGAGAAAGTCTCACGTCTGAGCAAGAATCTGTAAAAAGTAATTTCTTAGTAGACTTAATCAATGTTTTGTATTCGATGGAAAACGACAAAAAATATTTGGTAAGATTTACAGACTCATATATCGGTAAGCTACATCATATATATCTACACATCGTTTAAACTTCCTATTTTGAATTAAATCGCTTAAGACAAAAAAACTTCGCAAATAACTCACATGCTATAAGGAGATGTTACAGATGATGACCTAAGGAACCCTATCCAACTAGTTTATCCACAGAGCAAATTCAGTACTTCATTCAAATATACAAAAGAGTCAAGAATCGTACGAAATATAAAATATATGAAGCTTGACTGTCTGATTATATATATTTATACTCTCCCAAGTAAGCGTCACTACTCCAACAAATTCTATTTGAAAGGCCATGCTGTGAAAAGAGAATTTTTAATATATTTCTATTCGTACTGCTAGCTGCAATCAAACTTCACCTAATTAATTACCGACAATATATATATATTTACTTACAATAAGTGTAGGTACTTCCGATACTAGTATCAGAGTGTGATAGCAAGTTGAGAGTGAATTTACTATTGAAATTTTGAACGGAAAATATGATGCTACTTAGTCTAAATGCAAGGAAGCCACCATTTCCTTGCGTTAACGTTAAGATTAAAATAGTGGATGAAGTAGTGCATATGGAACTACGTATACAGGATTGAGTACAGCATTCTACTCTATTGTTATGAAGTTAGTCTCAAGCACCGTGATATGTATCTTATGTATCACTTTTAAATATTAATTACACGCGAAAAAAAATTTCTACATATAATTCTGTAGGTTATAAATATTCAATAGAATAGAATAGAAATTTGCTTTAAACGAGTACAAGAATTTTATAAACAAGTATAGTTCTAGTAAGTAGAATTGCTGACGAATTGAGAAAATTAAATAGACGTACAAAATTTCTTTAAAGGAAGGAAGATATGACTATATCATCTCTAATTAAGAAAAGATTTAAGCAAGTATACAGAAAATGAAGCGGTTTTATCTCTACGCAATAAGAGTAATAATAGAATAATTTTAATTAATATTAAGAATTTCTTTAATATATATGTAGTAAATATTGAAGAAACTGTTCATCTTGTTATATGCCAGCTGTAATCCTTAAAATTTTTGTATGTAATTATTTGAATCCAATATTGTTCAATTGATTCCCCAAATAAGGACGAAAACTTTTGCAATTGGTTCTGCATTGAGTCAAATGAATGACTTTAGTACGTCGGCAACCTACCTACCTGGTTAAATTATATTTTGGTAATGTAATAGTATTTTTATTTTAATAAAAATGATCAATAAATTTCAATAACAAATGCTTAGAAGATGACTACAGATTCCTTTGTCTTTTTACACATGTAATCTTTACTACAGCATAGATCAAATCCTACGCATAAAAAACTATACATAAATATATTAATATATAAATATACTATTTTAAAGCATTTAAACGTTTTAAGTACTGGTACTCACTAGAGCCATTAAAGTGATGGAGATGAGGCCATCACAACAGTTAGATGGAAGAGTCAATAATTTCAAGAATAATTGTTAGTCGTCAATGTAGGGTAGAGACCTAAGTTCAAACTAAGGTAATATACTCCTCTTAGAGTAAATGGCAAAAAAACAGAACAAAAAGGTAAGTTAGATAATAAATGACATAGTGTGACATTAAACCCATTACTGTCATACAGATTGTATTTTCATAGACAATATTCAAAACCTATAAATAGATAATACTTTATCTATTTTTATCCATCTATTATCTATATATCTACCTATTTATTTAAGAGGTAAAAAAAGAAGTAAGTTAATTTTTGAAACGTAGGTATACTAATTTGCTTTTAGAGGTGCAAAATTTTATTATTATTTTACTAAATTTTGATTTAACATCAGTTCTGGCGGTAGTGACTATTTTACTTAATAAAAAATATTGTATTTTGATAAAAAGGTTTCGAAAAGTAGTGAATTACAACAACAAAAATTTTTATAATATTTAATTATTAGCTGACCATAAAGCTGTTTGGAGTATTTCCAAATATCCATCATTAGTGGTGCTGGAATTATTTCTTATATTTAATTATTTTTAAATAACTTCTTTGAGACTGCAAGTACCAAGGGTTGAACTCATGCCTTGCCGAATTTGAAGCTCAGAGTCAGTGTTCACTAGCCAACTGACTTAAAGTCATACTTGACTTGTATGTTCGAACTTGGAGTTTTCTTAATTTGCAGTGAAAGTTTCTATTCACTTGCTGTGTTAAATTGGAACGAAATCAGAAACCAACTCTAAAAAAATTCAATTAATTAATTATAATAATATTCTTAATTGCTAAATTTCATTATTATTTTACTTTTTTGTTCGATTATGTTCAGAGTAATATGCAGAGGCTATGTAAAGAATACGATTGGAAATATTCAATTTCACTACATACTGAAATAGTTTATAATATAAAATTACGATCATACAAATTTTTGAGATTTTCAGATAGAAATACTAATAAAATTAAATAATGTTTAAAATAAAAACTACATAAACTTTAGTACTTTTTCCTTAACATTCAGCAATGAAATCTCTAAGAACTGTTAATTAGCGAATCACAAATTGAAGAAGAAGAAAACCCATGTTTTATGTGTTCAACCTCATTAATTAATAATTAGAAAATATATGAAACATTTGAGATGAGATTTCAGGGAATAAAAATTGTTAAAGTGAAGCTAAAGTAGATTTTGGAAGCACTCATTAGGGAATATTACCAAATTTGAGTTATTATTCCACATACTGTATTTATACAAAAATAATTGAGAATAAATACTCATCCATCAGAACTGTTACTTCCGTTTTCAAATCGAGGTAAGAAATATTTCATGCTTAGCCATGAAGTTTGCTATGTTAATTACCTCCAAATCCATAACCACAGAATCCAGATTGCTGCATCTATTAAAAGTTATTGCTAACTCATATTGCAGTTAATTATTTTCTCGAGTTCATGCCTTAAAAGTCTCATTAAGTATAGCTGATATGATTACTTAGCTCACTTAAAGTTAAGCAGCTGTTGAAGGTTACCTCAGATTTCAGGTGTAGTTTCTATTTTCATTCCAACTACCATGGATTTCATTGTCTTGCATCGATTGTTTCATTTGTGTTTGCGATCTTAAACTGAGTTAAGAGGCTGTTAAAATAAATTATAAGTTATAAAATTTGGAAACAATTAAGTAAGTGCAGAGCTATTCGTGTGTTCAGTGTGGAAGCGGATTAACTGCGATGAAACGAAGTGGTTTTCCAGAGCCTTTGCAAAACTGAAGCACATTAAGTAACGTTTGCATCTGCGGCAGAACACTTTTAGATACTTGCAAACCGGATTCCATGGCGTACGTATTTCTGTTTGATTTAAACAAGTTCAAAGCGGACAATAACTCATTAGCAGTGCAAAGTGTTGATGTTGCACTTGGTGTGCGCAGTGTTGCTCAGTGTTGCTCAGCTGCAGGAAATAGTGCAGTTGTGTTGTTTTATGACAGGAAAATATTTGTCGGTCTGACACAGAACCACAAGCAAGTGCAACAATAGCCGAAGCGGTTATTGAAATGAGCAACGGGTTTGCGGTGTTTCGCCAGCGAAACTGGGTTGATTGCAGTGCTAAATCGATCAGCATTTCTGGCTCGGCACATTAGCAGCACTTGCAAGACCTGCACTTGCATTAGCAAAGTTCAATCGGCGGTTGCCTTTCTAATTTCGAAAAGGTGCAAATTCTTGATGATAAACACAAAGCAAACTCATGTCTAACGAATTGACGTGCTTAATCTGCTGGCACATATAAAAACCAGACATGTTAAGAGCATTTTTTACTGATAATTAGCTTGAAATGTTAAATAGGAATATTTCTTAGTAGATAAAGCTTGCATTAGTTTTTCATTTTTATTTTCCTTTACAACTTAAAATAGTTTAAACATAATTAATGAATAGCGTTGAACATTACTTAAGCACCCATCTCTCCCTTTTGGCCAGTATCGCCTATAGGACCTTGTGGACCTTGCGCTCCAATTGGCCCTTGTGGTCCTTGCGGTCCAGCAAAACCACGACGTCCTCTGCGTCCGGTCGGTCCAATTACTCCCGCCACACCTGGTCTTCCTCCCGTACCACGCTGGCCTGGTGGGCCTATTGGTCCCACAGCACCAGCAACACCTTCACTGCCATTTTCTCCCCTAGGTCCATTTATACCCCTCGCACCTTGTGGCCCTGGTGGTCCTGGGGGACCTGGCGGGCACACACAGTCAGCATTTGATTGTGCATAAATTGCTGTCTGTGTACGTATGCCAAGCAGTGCACGCTGAAGATCTTCTCTGTGGGTTTGTTCACTTGCAGAGATGGGCACAACCAGGACCACTGCTAAAACTATTAAAACTACTTTATTTTTCGAACACACAATCAACTCAGGCGCTTACCGAATATTAGAAGTGCTGTGGTTTTCATTGTTTTATTTAATTTGCAAAGACGAGCCACTTTGGTTCATTATTTATATAAACTTTAGCGTTTCATTAATAAAACATAAAAAAATTTCTTTCTGGTTGTTGTGTAGACTTTGACTTGCAAAACTGGGACAAAATTAGTTCAGCGATTTAAGACTTATGTAATCTGCTGACCTAAATCTGTCGCTCGAAAGAACAATAAAATTGTTTGCGATTAGCAAGAATCCATTAAATTGATTTTTTATTACTGCCCACTAATCTCACGGTGTCTCTGCTTATATAACCTACACACTGGCATGAATATTATTTTAAACACAGTCAAGCCATGAAGTTGGCAATACTCATTGCTGTCGGTACGATGAATAATTTTTTCTCTCAACAGCGCTTAAGTATTTTTGTTATATTTCAGCTTTTTGCTTTTGTCTTCTGAATGCACAAGTGAACAGAGTAGGTCCACCTGGACCACCTGGACCAATAGGACCACCTGGCCTACCTGGATTAAAAGGCGATAAAGGTGATCGTGGTGCAGCTGGAAGACCCGGCCTACAAGGACCGCAGGGACCAGGTGGGCGGCGGGGCAGAACTGGAAATACGGGGCCAATAGGACCACCCGGCTCCCCCGGTCCAAGAGGAGCACAAGGTGAACGTGGCGAAAGAGGTTTAGAAGGCCCAATAGGACCGCCAGGCCCAAAAGGAATGGTGGGCGCAACTGGTCAGAAAGGGGAGCCTGCAGCGTAACCTAATGTTCATTATTCATAACTTAATTATTATTGTAAATATAATTTCTCATCACTGCACACCTGAATGTGCACTCAACTATTGAAATTAAACAAAATTTAATAAAGAAACTACTTTCGAGTCATTTTTTAATTTTTCGCTTTAAAGCTTTAATTGTTTGTTCTGCTTTCCATTGCTGCTGACCACTCTTCCCGTTACTGAGGTTCCCTTTGTTTCGTTCATATTTTTGTTGACCTTTTTCATCTTCATTTTTATTAATTTTTTTTATTTTATTATTTTTGTTCTTGTTTTTATTTCTTTTTCTCGTTATTGAAACAAAAGTTTATTTTTATTGCTTTACTTGTGAATTCGTTCACTCCTGTTTTCGTATTGTTTTTCTGTCAGCGAATGAGCTTCGTTATGTTAAAATGGTGTTGCGGACAGACCGATGAACGGACAGCTCAACTGACTGATTTGCTTCAGATGGTCCTCCGAGCCGTCGTTGCAGGGATAAGCTGATGGTATCATGACAATGATAATGCTGATGAGGCTGATGATGAGAGGAGTTTGGAGTTTGGCGAACATTAAGAAGAGATTATAAGTGGTATTTCAAAATGAATTTTATTGAGCATTTGGTAATCTCGTAATGGAGCATATTCCAAAGACGTACTTCAGCCAATATTTAGGAGCAGCGTCGTAATTATGTTAATTGCAGTAAATAGTAAAAAGCAATAAACGATACAAAGGACCTACACTACAAAGCAGAGCGAATGAATTAAAAATGAATGAGTGTTTGTTCTTCGAGATTAGTACGAACAAATATATGCGAATCCAGTTCAAAGAGAATACGTAAAATGGTTGAGTAAAGTTTTCTCTAAATTGGAAAAGTTTCTGTAATGAAAAGGAGGAGCTCTGCATACAGAAAGGAATATTAAAATTAATACACAAATTATTAAGTGCTTTGTCTTGCTTATAGATAATACCAGAAAGGAAATTAATTATTGACATACGAGTGGATCTACTGCAAGGAGTTTTCCATTTATTATATATAAACGGCACATCTACAGTAAAGAAATACGAAAAACTAAACCAATTAAAAAATTAAACATGAATTTTTTATATTTACTTTTAAACTTATTGATAAAAAGTTATTATTTTTCATATGCAGATTTATTAGTAACTTTTATTTAGATTTTACAAAACTTTTTCTACAAGAAATTTTTTCTTAAAATTGCAATTTATATTGTCGAATAGTATTTTTGCATGTATATTTAAGTAATAAAAATCAATATGTTCATATAATAAATATATTATTAACATTAATCGCTCTTTCTTTCCAAAGTCCAATAAGTTTAAAGTTTCTATATTGAAGTCAATGTGCCAACGGTTCAGCCTAAGGAATTATACGGATGACTTGCAGTTAAATATCTTGCAATATTATATATACGGGTAATTCTAAATGTGAACAAGTCCTATGCCAAGAGTAGGGCCCTCAGAACCGTGGTCCGTAAAAACTAGAGTTAATGCATTTTCTTTACTATTTTAAACTTTGAAAATTAAATCATGTTTTATTCAGAGACTTCAGACTATAACCACATACTAGTAAAATTGATCTGATCATTTTATTAGAAAAAATAAGGAAGATATGAAAAACAACATATGGTATGGTTGAACCAACATGATGCGTCGAGTAAGAATATTTTGACCTGGCATTTAGTTCAAATCTGGTTAAATCAGCTAAATTATTTTTTGAGTGTTGTTATTCAAAACGAGAGCAATATATCTACTGCTGTCTATTTTGACAATTGACAACTTATTTATAATTATGTTATATCAGTATAGATAAACAGTATAGACAGTATGACAGCATGTTTTGTCATTTCAACGGGAACAAACTGCATCAATTTCAAGATAAATCCCTTGGGTTCACTAACGCATGCAGTCAGTGTTCAACTCAAGTAAAATATACATATTATCTATAATACTAGAATATCATTTCTTAAAGATACTATTTATTCTATTAATATTTGACTTTTTATAGTCAAATATTATTCATATAATCAAATACTATTTTTTCACATATTTTTATGTTGTATTTGTTCATCTGAAAGAATATGTGAATCAGAATAAAGTTACCAACGTGGGTCATTGTTTAATACAATGACAGAATAATCACGCTGTACTAAAAGTAATAATTTCAATAAAGCTGTTATACTGACCTATTATTTTAGCTATCTAAGACTGTTAAGGTATACTAATATTAAGCATGAAATTGCTACTTTCAGATGTATAGGCCTTTAAAAGTGTAGCGAACGGTAAGAACATAAAAATGATATACTCTGACCAATTCGTTTCTTTGAATCTAAAGCAATTAGGCCTCAAAAGTTGCCTATTCCGATAATCGTTTATATACTACTTATGTGGAATAGAAGAATATTCTTAGAATGCTCCACCATGAAGTTCCCTTTTATCTTAGTAGCTTCATTGAAATCCATAAAAGATCCAGAATGAAACAGCATTGCTTGGAACTAATTATAAGCTAGTACCAAGAATAGACTGTTATCATATAATAAAAAAAAACGGGAAATCAATTTTAATGGGTTTTGGAACAGCATTGAAAAGAATGATTAATATAATATGTCTAGATGAACATGCTCTCGATAACTTCTGGCTCCAACTAAAATGTGCTACATATAATTTTTAAGAAAAATTACAGTTATTGCAGCAAGTGTTTGATGGCTATCTTTTCTGTTGAAATAGTCCTGTAACACGGTCTTAACCGTATTAGAACATATTAATTAAACGTTTTTAAGGGATGCATTTAAACTTAAAACGATAACTCACGAACTATTCCAATCTTAGAAAGAAATATTGAGCACGCCAATTTATAAAGACCTGAGTGTTCCACAAAATTAAAAAAATTAGATTTGTTATTGACAGTATTTCTTATATGGAATTTCATGTCCTCAATATAGAGCTCATATACTTCCATAAACAAGAAATCCGTGCTGTTAACAATTAGCTGTTATTAACTTGAAAACTGGTTCCAAAAGATGTCTACACACGAGCTTTGTAGTTTCTAACTAAATGTGATTTATCCAAAAATTGCAGGAATCTGTAAAATGATTCTTCAGTATGAGTTTCAAAAAAGGAATGACATTTCTGATTAGACTCATTACATCTGAATAGGGTCGTATACAAGAATCATTCACGGGGGATATTCCAAAAATATTTAATTGAAAAACATCTATTATATCCAAAATAAAATTCAAACCATTATTTGAGTTCGTGTGATTTTGGGTGTACAAGACCGCTACTCAACCTTACCTTCTATAGAATGGTTGAAATTAAGGTGAGTCAAACCCCAATGCGCCTGTATAAAATAACTCAGAAAGTCAATAACAGAAGTTTTGATATACCCAGTATTTTTTGTATACTATTTTTTGGAAATAACGAAAGTGAGATTCGTAAGACGAAGTAACATAATTGTTACGTCGGAGATAACAAAGCATTTAATTGAAATATTACAAGTCACTTTCCTTCACACCAGTGAAAAGAGTTAAGTCTTTAAGATTAAAAAGAAGCTCTAGTTTGTGTTCACGCGTTGACGAAGTCTCGCCTTCATGGCTTCCCGCCATTTGAGGGCAGATGAGTGATTAACTCTGAGAAGGCAACTGCAAGCATCAAGAATCTGGAGCCGTACGAGGTTGAAAGTTGAAACGAAAACGTCGAGATGTGCACTTAAGTTTTCTCGATTTTCATTTATTTTTATTTATTTTAATTTCATTTAATTTTCGTTTTCAAATTAACGCCGATTTCAATTTCATTTTCATTTTCCATAGCAAAACTGAAGGAAAGTTGTAAGCGCAAATTTAAATGCAAATTCACTTAATTGTGGCGTGGCTTTCATCCCAAAAGTTGGCGATTTGTTTATTCTGTTAATTTTCAATTCGTTTAGTGCAAAATTGTATTTATAAATTCATGGATCCTTTCGAATTTCAACATTTTATTCAAAATAATTCCAGTTTTTCTGCAGCTTCATGAAATCAATTCTGAAATATTAACGGAGAAGAACAAAATACAAATTAAATCCAAAATGCGAGATTCAGTCGATTCAAATTAATTTTATTTCCGTTTTGTAGCCGATAAGAGGCCATCAAAGTATTTAGACTGCTGTATCTACAACTAGAAATCAATAGAATGGCTTTGAAGTTAATATAATTGTAATTCAGAGATTAGCCAATCTGCGGTTGTAAACTGTCTGTCCGAATTGCTAACATAAAATATTCATTCAAAGTAATTTGAAACTCACTCGCATTTTAGTTGATGAAATACATTTGACACATTTGATATCGGAGTGCTCTACTAATTTAAGTTAATGTGAGATGACATAGTTTTTTTTTTGTCTTTTGATTTGCTTCACGAAATTAGTTCGATTTTGACTTAATAAAAGCAACTAACAAAACATTTAACTGTAGTTCTCATGTGAAGATGGTGAGTAGCAGTACAAAACACATCCGTAGGTCTAAGTAAATATCAGCAAAAAATATTATTTTAAGCAAAAATTTCCTTTCAGTAATTTCATTTGTGGTACTTACAATTTTGGTAGTCAAAAATAATGCGCATTACGCAAAAAAACGCGCCTTACTTCGCCCGCAGCCAGCGGTTATATATGCACAACCAAACTCGCAATGTTACTGCGTACCAGGTCCGCCAGGCCCACCAGGACCACCTGGTGTTGTAGGTTTTGATGGAGAACGTGGTGATAGAGGCGATAATGGCGTAGCAGGAGTGACTGGTTTGATTGGTTCAGCCGGCCAACGTGGTTCACCTGGTCGCACGGGATCACCTGGACCAATTGGTCCTAGTGGGCGCAGAGGACGCCGCGGATATGCTGGAGAACGTGGCCCTATTGGTCCGCAAGGACCGCCAGGTCCACCAGGTCCGAAAGGTGATCCGGGTCCGAAGGGCGCACCAGGTGAAGCAGCGAGAAGGCGCTCTTTAAACTTTCGTAGTGAGCACAATGAAAAAGAAGATAGTAACAATGAAGTCGAGTTACCTCAAGAAAACAATGAGAATTTCGATACTCTTGGCGGCGGTATTGAATCCTATTATGGTAAAAGAAAATAATAATTATGAGTGCTGTTTTGCAATGCTGCTATAAAGAATTTAAATTTTTTTCAATATTTATACTTACATTTAACTAAATTACGAACTAATTTATAATGAATTAAAATATATATTAAATTTAAGATATTAAAAAGTTTAAAAAGCAGATAATATTTCATTGTTGTCACAAAATTATGCAAGCAAATATTAGTTTACATTTTGGAATATTTTATAATTTCCATATATAAAAATAATGGTTATATTATACAGATATAGGAAGTATATATTAAATTTAGGTTATTAAAAAGTTTAAAAACCTTCTTCATATAAAAAATGGTCATGAGGTATAGTTCCGGTCATAACATAACATGTGCAGAGTCAAATCAAATTATTCAATTTCGTCTTCTAATTTTATAGCATAACATGTCTATATATTAACATATCCGTAATAAAATAAGTATATTTGTTCCTAAAATGCACAAATTCTGATATTTATTACTAAGCAACGTTTTGAACATCGAGAAGAAATACAGAAAGCCTCGTCACCGTTCCCAATATTTAATCGAAAGTTTACTTTCATTTTTAAATATTAATTTAACACTGAAACGGCTATATCCTGTTCTTGTGATTTTGATCGCAGACTCCTTGCCATTGATTTCTTTATGATCTGACACTTTGCAAAGTTTTTGGCTGCCACTAACTGAATCATAACATAGCATAACATTCAAAATCCTCAAAGACTATATGTGTAAATATAGATATGAGTGTTTTTCAATTCTTCGGTTAACTTATCTGGAATACAGACCTCGATGGTTAAACCTCCGTTTAGTGAAAAATAGTTCACATACATAGTTTTGCTGTTTGCAGTTAAAAACGGTTTTACCAGCACCTTTTTGTTTTGAAAACCACCAGTTTGTTAAACCAGAAGTTCCATATTTCCATTCCGAAGGATCGGAAATGGGAAATTATAATTTTAAACAAAATACCACGCTCATTTAATTTGTCTAATCGCAGGTCTCTATGGCAGTAATTAATATGCATATAGAAATTTGAATGTAAAGACTTCCACTAATATTCATATTGCAAGGCAACCCCTTTAAACCCACAATCTATTCCAGTACTGGTATTTTACAGGTACGTATTATATCCGTCATAGCCATATATGTATGTAAGTCTTTGTAGCTTATTTAGGAGCGCGATATGCTCTCTGCATATCTGTATCGTCTATCAGTTTTATTTATCGACATCACCATTTAATACTTAGAATTTAGGATATCTGGTATATGTTTTCTTTCTACCTTCATCCTATTTCTTATTAACTATCCCAAACTTATCGGTGTCTTCAGGTCTAGGTTGTCCTTTCGTTTATGTTCTTTTTCTACTCTTATCCTATTTCTCATTAACTATCCCAACCTGGTCGGTGCGGCCAAATCTAAGTTGTCCCTTTGTCCCTTCCCTGCCTCGCATTATCAGTTTTAATTTCACTTTTTATGTTTTTAAGTATTTTAAATAAATTCCACTCAGATGAAGCAGATATTAAATTATTTCATTGTGCCATTTGAAAGGGAATTCCCCTTTAAAAATATTTTGACTGCTTTGTATAAATAATTTTCTAATTTATTTAAATTCTATTTATTTTTCGTATTTATGTCCACACAGTGAAATGCAAATAATCGAGCCTGAATTCCTTTTTAGATTTGAATTTCAATTTTTTTGGAAATTTATTAAATTTAGTATCATAAAAAACACATTAAATTTTAATAATTTTCTAAAAGCCAATAATTTATATTTTCATTTTTATTGTTGTTTAATGACTGCGTGGCGTTATGATTTCATAAACTAATTTTAATTTAAATATCAAAAGCCATTTGAGTGCCATAAAAGTGTTTTATGTTACGTGCAAAACAAAATATAAACACAAAATTTCTTATTCATAATTTTCGTAGATAAAATATCTTTAAATGCGATTTTTATTTCAAAATTTCAGAATTTCCAAATAAAATGCGACAGTCAAGTTTTTATTGCGTTGATTGAATTTGTGACAAAATAAAAAATGCTTACTTTTCAAATCGATCCAAGGATGAATTCGTTCCTGCCACTCCATCACTCCGCTTTCACATTGAATATATTAATTTATATGAATATATATTCAATAATATTCAATAAGACGATACAAACTCTTTTTAGGATAATTATTTTATTGGAACACATTTTGTATTAATCATTGGTTACCTTTCTTTACGTAAGTTAGGTTATGTTGGGTTTGAAGCTTTAGACTCAGTTATCTATTGTGATGGAGTTACAACCTTTTTGGGCTACCATATATCTATCTCGGATGGTGGTAAATACTTGTCGTCAGTGGTGAAAAGAATACGGAATACGGATTTAAAGAAAGTTGATGATCATCAGTGAGTAGAAACCGTGAGCTTTAGACGCACTTACCTAATGGAGTTACGAAGTTTTTGGCTTACCATAAATCTATCTCGGATGTTGGTAAATGCTTGTCGTCAGTGGTAAAAATAATAAGGAATTTAATAGCAATTTAAGGAAAGTTGATGATCATCAGTGAATAGAAACCATGAGATGTGCTATAATAGCTAAATGGATTATTGAGTTGATAGTTAAATACCCTGACCCTGAGAGTCATAATATTCCAATTTAAGTGTATATACTTATTCTTGTATATAAATTCTTATATGAATTTTAGACCAGTGGCTTCCATTCGCATTGATTAAAGATTGTCCACTAGCCAAACAGTTTAATAATTCTTCCGAACAATTTCCGCAATTCCTCAGTCAGGCCACAAAACTTTATTGAAGAAAATGCAAAAAATTGCGTTTTATTTATATTTGCGGGATTGTGTCTAAGCCATTACGACAATTACGTTTTTGTTTCGTGTCCTGTTATTGTATCCTTGCATCCTTGCGTTACAGTTGTTTTTGGAAAAAGGAGCGCTGGGGGATTTATTTTTATTTCTAATAAAACTACATTTTGCCAGGTCGTTGCACTGTAAATGCATAATGTCTGCCTCAGTTACGTTAGTGGGTCTGTGTGTCTGCACCATGGCAGTATGTGGGCGTGAATAGCCATTTTGAGAACCGTATCTGGTGCTACCGACAGGCGCTTATGCGTTTTGTGTGGCTGATGGGTGATGGGTGAGCGTTGCATGTTTCATTTCCGCATTTGCATTTGATAAGCCTGCGAGTGTGCAACAAGCGCTCAGAGCTGCACAAAGCGCCGGCAACAATACCGCAATAATGTTTTAGTTTTATTCAATTTTTCCTTGTTTTCCTGCATTTCTAATGCATTTCAGTGTTGTGTTGTATTGTGTTGTGTAGTAAATCCTGTGTTGCAATTTTCCTGCACATAATGTGACATGGACTGGCATAAATAATGCCGAAAAGACAGCACACACACGGATGAACGCATCAAGAAAGTGCGAGGAGGTGTGGATAGGAGTGTGCTATGTGCACGTTAACATATGCACAAGGAATGAAAACTGGAAATGCTAATGGAACCTGTGTTTAGCATTTGTTTATAGATCACATGCGTCTTAAAACGATTTTCTGATTTTTTGGTTAAATTTATGTATTAAAATTTAATAAATTTTAAAAAGATTAATACAAATGAATATAGATTTTTCTTTTGTGTTCTTGGCATGCTAATGAAACAGAATATTTTGAAGCCATTCGAATATTGAATATATTCAATCCAGTGCTCAAATTTTTCAATCCTTCAAAAAGTAATTCGTATTTACTTTGCTCCTCTATATACTTAGAGCATTTTGCTGTGCTGAGTTAGATAATGTTAGATTGTTAAAGTCTTTCTTGTAATCTATTTAGACATGTTGGTCAAATCTTATGCAGATCTGAGTCCATATGTGGACGTTCGATTAAGTTAAACGATTTTTTATTGAAAATGTTAGCATCCGTTTGATTATTGTAAGGATTCCAGCCTCTTCTAAGCTTTACTTTCAAATGAAGCGATTGATATTCACACACAGAAGTACCGAAAGAGTATCTTATGTTAGTCATGACTTTTGTAATATATTGAACAGGGACCGTAACAGTTATCATAAAAAAAATAAAAATCATCTTATAACTGTTATCATATGCATTTTAAAATAAAACTCAAAAAATAATAATTATTATATGCCTTTTATTTTTTTCGCGCAGCAATAACTCTTAAAATTTGCTTCTTATTTTAAAACGCACAAATAACTGGTATACTTGCGTTATATAATATAAAAAGCAAGAGTATCGCGCAAATTCTGCGCGATATTTTTAAAATGAAAATATAAAATGCAATTTTCATACAAGGTAGTTGTTTTTGCAATTCCATAGAAAATGTTTGAAAAGGTTGGTGCAGGTAAAGATTTAGTTCAGTTTTTTGTTTTTGTATTTTGGATTCATATTTTGTATTTATCTTTGTATTTTATAGGAGAACAAATTTGTATGCAAAATACAAAAACAAAAATCTAAACTAAATCTTTACCTGCACCAACCTTTTCAAACATTTTCTATGGAATTGCAAAAACAACTACCTTGTATGAAAATTGCATTTTATATTTTCATTTTAAAAATATCGCGCAGAATTTGCGCGATACTCTTGCTTTTTATATTATATAACGCAAGTATACCAGTTATTTGTGCGTTTTAAAATAAGAAGCAAATTTTAAGAGTTATTGCTGCGCGAAAAAAATAAAAGGCATATAATAATTATTATTTTTTGAGTTTTATTTTAAAAAGCACAAATATAAAAAGCATGCATAATATTAAGGATAAAAGTTGTTAGAATGATAACTATTTACTTAAATAAGAGTTTAGACAACTTTTTGTTGCTGCTTTTTTTCATAAAAAATTTTAAAATAACTGTTATTTTCGGTCCCTGATATTGAAGGAAAGCCATAAACCCCATAAAGTATAAAATTCTTGATTAGCTCAAAGACTTGAATTTATTAAGCCATAAAATTTACTTATAATAAAAAACTTTCTAAATGAATTTTTTAAAACTAAAAAACT